TAATGTACTACATTCTCCCATGGGCACATATCCAACAATCATTCAACTTATTATGCCGTTGTACTTGACATGTGGTAAACTCACGTAAAGGTCCTCCTCCTCGAGAGGAGAAACTCTTCATTGAATATCCTCTTGATGGATCTGATATGAGGAGATGACGACGACACTCAGACCGGCACGATGGATGACTCTTCTGGTCAGCGGCTTCCACTTTAATCCTACACACAGTACAAAAGGTCTTCACTTGAGAGCACACCTAATGATGATGACTGTAATGATCATTATCACTACATAAGGAATACATCATCGCATCCTGGGCATGCATCACAGATGACCCCCTCCCCCCTGTCCTGGTCTATTGCTGTCGTCTCTGCCGTAACATCACCGGACACGTCTCGGACGATACTTGAAGGTGCGATACTGCTCGAGAGGCATCTGCTTTTATGGTCTAAAAGGAAGCGACTACCCGCATGAGGCCATCATAGACACTACCCAGCCCATCGTGAGGAGGCCCTACACGTCTATTGTGAGTACCGCCACCAGCATCAGCTGATCGAGGTGATAGAGACCCCGTATCCTCCCGATCTGATAATAGAAGGTATCCTCCTCGTAATGAACAATTGACATGTACAGTACCGGGGAATAGGCTCTCCTCTCCCTCCTCCTCCTCCTCCTCCTTCTTTATGTGAGGGCTGCTACCTCCACGATGATGATGATGCTCATGATCATGGGCATCGATGCTATTCCGTCGACCATAATTGAAGTAGTGCATACGATTGTGGAGCATTTTGACAGTTGTATGACCTCAACTGGAGTGTAGTAACGAAAACGTAACTAACGGCAATAGGGACGGGGGAGGAATATATCTGGACCCCCGAATCGAGTCAACAGTAAGAATGACATCAGAAATGGTGTGAGTGAGATTGATGATCAACAATAATGCCGTCTGAAATGATGAGTAATGGGTCCAGCGATTGTTATACAATCCTCAGGTACTGCCCATCGAGGATCAAGAGGCGTTGTTCATACCAAAAGCCCTCATAGGGGAGCATCTAATGCTCTCGGATGGCCATACGTCGGTGGAGCACGGCTGATCCATCTTCATCTACATCCATCACATCTATGTCCGGTACACCTTGTCACCGTGCTGTGAGTCGTCCCACAGCCATGCTCCATAATGGACCAGTAAGTATCCAGATTCGGTCAACTCACGCAGCCTCGATATAGCTCCTGCCTTACTTCAATCATCCCCGGGATTCCCCTCAAACACTGTGCAACAGCACCTCCTCGTTACCATCTAACGTATTAGGTACGAAGGACTGCACATAGTATGATGAACTTGGTGCAATGCAGCATGGGGTAGGGTCCATGAGGAGGTATGCTGTACTAATGGCTGAACTCGTCAAGTAGTCCCATACTGCTCAAGTAACGCAAGAGTAAAGGTAGTCGATACGAGAGCTAAGTATCATGGAAAATGCTAGCCATTACGTTGCATGGTCCTTGGAGGGACAAGGAATGATGAGCAGCAGAGCATTACATGAAGAGGACAGTAGATACTGATATGGTCCCATAGGAATACCCGAGTATACCATACAACATGAAGAGCATCTATTTATCAGAAGGGGGAGGAGGAGGAGGATGTGAAGATAATGAACCTGGATACATCGCATCATCATTCTTGGACTCGGATAATACTACTCCTATTCCCACTACGGCGTTGTTTGGCGATTGTTCCAGAATGGTTACCATCAGTAGTCTTCTTGAAGATAGGCTTATAACTCCAACCTAATGGTGGTCTTGTCTTACCCTCATCCTCTTGAGACTTCCACCCCTAGGCAGCAAGGATGGCAACACAGGGCAGCAGTAGCAGTGACTGACATCAACATTAGTATCGAGTTGCTTCATGATCATATCTGTCCTATGATCGAGGTCTATCTTGGTCATGATGTCAATAAAGGGCTGAGTATTAGTATGGCAATGAGATCATAATACTTCACGTACCCTAACGAGATAATCAATAAAGCCCAATTGGGATCGGGGTAAATTGACTCTATCTCTGTCGCATAGTGGTGATACAGGAACTACCACACAGTAGATGCAGCAGTAACGATGGTATGATGAGTACTACCATGTAACTGTTTCTCGAGATCCCCTTGTTTGAAGAACTCCTCAGCCAATCGAAGAGATAGTTCATAATGTTGATCCCATGGTAGACAGGTATGACCGATATCGGCAGCCTATTATTATCATCATCCCAATACCGACTACACATGTTATAGGGCTACTTTAATGCAGGCCTTGAAGATGAGCAGCCGCTCGTCAGCATTCATAGGGTCTTGAATGACAGTCCTGAGAGTGAAGTCATCAGCAATCCGTCGGCACGACTAGTTCACCGAACCAGATAAGACTGATAGCACCTGAACTCTGAATTACGGACTAGTAAGCGTAAGTCAGTTAGTGCGGCAAAATGTTTAGCCATATCGGTCGCCAGGATGAGCTCAATAACGAAGGACCTGAACATTATTAATGATGGGGGCAAGTAATGAACTACCAGTAAATACCTGAAGCCTTTCCGTTCTTCCCTGGTGAGGTTCTCAATGATGTTACACTCATGGAAGTCCTCCATCATCTCGAATGCTGTTGCTACATGAAACTGTTCTAGGACTGATCTGTCGTTATATCTACTACCAGGTAATCACAGCCATATAGATGCTTAGATGTCTTTGAGTACTACCTCAAAGCGAGGCGATCACCCGTCTCTACGTAGAAGCCATTATTCTTGCCACTATGACCAACATCATGACATATACAGGCTACAAGGAAGGCTGTGTAGTCCAATGCACTTACTGGCATTCCTGTAGCCCGGAGGAGGTAGTTACCATGAGAGGTGACCTATAACGAGGGATGCCCGCCTTTCTAGTCACAGCCCATGTTGGTAGCTCTACCTGGGCTGCATGGGCTTGGTTATGATACTCGACCTCAGTATATGTCCCCGATATTCGGGTTAAAAAGTTTCTGAATATATCCCACTCAATCCTAAGAGCCCCGAAGGCCAGTACAGATGCCAACTGAAGGAGGATTCCCATTAGTGATGACTAGAGCCACCATTACTAGTACTAGTAGTAGTACCTGACTGCCTATCAGAGGTAGGATGGGTATGTTGGGTAGATGGGTCTCCTGCAGCTCTATGAGGTTGAGGTTGAAGTCTTGGCCGACTGCCTGGATGGTAAGTATGAATAGGGCGAGTATCGATGCTGCTCACCTCAAGCATAGCATAGGCCTTTGCTGGGATATCTCCCATGTAGGACGAGGTAGCGTTCAATGTCACTAAAGAGGAGGAGAGGACGACATGGAAGAATGAGAAGCTGCTGCTTCTGCTGCTGCTGGGCTGGGTGTATTTTGTGGTATCCATATGCTTTGATGATGATGCCTACCTTTGCCACCGGTCATCAGAGTCCACTCCTTGTCTAGCTGATTCGGGGTTGAATCCTGGTTGAGTAACTGATTGTTGAGGAGATAACGAGTGAGATGAAGGATAGGATCCCTGACTTCTACATGGTTTATATACTCTACGAATTCCCGTCTAGTCTCCTGACGTGTTGATGCAGCACTACTCGCTTCATCATCGAGTACCTTCAACACAAGGTAGGTAATATGAATGGATGAGGCCAACACAACTCACAACTTTATCAATACGCGTCCTCCTCGATAAGATCGTTACTGAGTCTCTGATGAGTGAGGTAGCCTAGTGGAAGGCACCCATGCGATGATGATGTCTACCCATCGCTGTGTGACTAATATTACCCCTACGATCTGCAATCTGTATTCAGCTACTCTAGTTTGGAAGTTCGACTCATTATCACTCGAGGTATCCCTCACAATTGCCCCTCCTCCTCCTCCTCCTCCTCCTCCTACCATTCCAACGGGCTGTGAACCTGATTATCCTTCACACTGGAGAGGTCACAAACGACTACCGCCGAAGCCTTCTAGAAGGGTGAGTGCTGATTCGATGTCAGCAAATGCCTTCTCATAATTAGTTGTTGGCCCAGGACTTGGGTTGTTTAACTCTCTGACTGTATGTTCCAGAAGCTAGGCGGCATGATAACAGATCTCCACTACTACGGCTCAAAGGAGAGTGTTATCACCTTAGTCTTACGAACTGATATGTTGAATGCAACGAATTGTTGACGGACATTCTTTCTCAAATTCATTTTCCCTGATGATAGATGACTGCTGTAGTCTGGTTAAGACTAGTGCGTATTAATACCAGACATAACCATAGTGACCAGTATGACC